CCCTTTCCCTTAAAAACAAACTAAAACAAAACAAAAAACCAAACCAAACCAAAAAAACCCACCACTGTATTAGGTTTTCTTTCAGCATCTCTTTTTTGCTATAGGTTGTGTGCCCTTGTCAGAGACAGAGAGAGATCACAATCCTTTTTTCTCCTCTCAAGATTTTAGATACACACAAGCATGCACCTGGTTTGAGTTTCAAGCCACTGGGTCTGGAACTTGAACTGCGTTGGCCATGTGGGAGTCCAGCACCATAACCAATATGCCACCTGCTGGCCTGATAAACCTCATCTTAAATGACAGTCTAAAAATTCCAAAAATGTCTGTTGCTTCTCCAGCAAATTCAGATCTAGAGAGCAACAAAGAGGGACATTTCAGTGAGATACTTGAAAGGAGTGTGAGGGCAGGCCCTGGAACAGTTCCGGTGTCACTGAGATGTCATCTAATCAGTGTCAGAGACACCCTACCCCCAGCAACCCTCTTCCACATGACATCAAGGCCATGAAATGAAGATTCAGGACCTCAAGAAGGAAAACTCCCTGGGCCAGCAGGTGGCACGGTGGTTAAGGCACTGGATCTCGCATGGCTGACTGCGCAGTTCGAGCCCTGGACCCAGTGGCTTGAGAGACACACCAGGTGTGTGTGTGCCCAAAATCCTGAGATGGGAATGGAGAATGGATTGCGCTGTGACCATCCTGACTGGGGGGTGATTTCTCACTTTCCCTCTCTATCTCTCTCTGGCAAGCGCATGTACCTTACAGCAAGAATTAAAAAGAAGGAAAACTCTCCAACATGTAGACTATGTGACTGAGGCCGAGGTACTCCTTGGTACAGCACCTGTCACCTGGAGGGGAGCAACACCTTCTATGTGGAGATGAGAAGTCCTAACAAGGGCCCGAAGGCTAATCTGACCTAACACATACTGACACACAAGGACTGAGATCCCAGATATGCTCTCCAAGCACAACGCAACTAAATTAGAGAGCAAAATAAAGAAACTCGGTAATCTCAGATATCTGAAAATTAAACAACCCACTTCAAAACAGCCCATGGTTCAAAGAACGAAAATAAAACACCCACCTCACGGTACAGGTGGGAGGCTCAGTGGGGAAGACAAATGTTTAGGTGATCTGTACGAACTCTCAGGGCTGGGTCTGGAATGTACGTGCAGCGTGGGGTGGGGGCACACTATGGGGCTGAGACTCTAGGAGAGGCTTCAAACCTCTGCAGAGGAATTCTAGGGCTGGTTCCCACCAGTCAACAGCAAGAAGGGAACAAAACAGTCCATAGAAACGTGTGCTCTCTAGTACAGGGAAAAAAGATATGACTAATTTCTGAGTGGTTATTGGGGGGAAAAAAGCGACAATTAAAAATAATAAAGAGTGGGTGGGTGAGTGCAGAGGGTGGGCTATTTCACTGCTCCCAGCTCTCCTAGGCTGGGGGGGGGGCTGATGCTTATTCTGTTCCTCGTAGCCTGGCCCACACATGGCGAAGGATGAGAGGACTTGATGGGTTCAGGCCCCTTGCTGCCAGATATGCAGGTGAGATCCCACCCAAACCTGCGAGGACCATTTCTCTCTCTCTTTTTTCCTTCCTTCCTTTTTAAAACTATCTTTATTTCTTTAAAAAAATTTTTTTAAAAATTGCTATAGGGCACATGTGCTCACTGGAGAGACAGAGAGAGAGGAAATGAGAAATCACCCTCCAAGGGGGATGGCCATGCTGCAATCCCTTGTCCTCTTGGGACTGTGGGCATGCACACACATGCCTGGCGTCAGTTTTAAGCCGCCGGGTCTGGGACTCGAAATGCGGTCGACTATGTGGGAGTCCAGCAACATAATCATCATGCCAATGGCCCCTGGGGCCATTTCTGACATAAAGGTAAACAGGCTCCCATAGCCTGCATTGCTTGCTGGGATGCGGAGCTGAGACTTGAACCTGAGGAGTGTGGCTCCAAATGCCTGCCATTCACCCCTGCACGCTGCAGTGGGATCCACCAGGATGTGCGGCTTGTGGCAGGTCGCCTCAGCCAGGCTCTCTCCCACCCCCAGGCCCGTGCATCGCTGCCTTCCTCAGTGGGGACCTGCTGCCCCTCCGCTCGGCCTGGTGTCCTTTTCCAGCCCAGATTTCGACTCCACTTTCCCCGAAAAGCCCCAGATGCTCTCGTCTGCCATCTCATTCCTGCCACACCTCACTGGGACAACCCGTGTATGTGTCCATGTCCTACCCCTGAGGGTCAGGGCCCCAGACCAGGACAGACTGCGACCCCAGCAGAGCTTGTGGAAAGCCAAGGGATCTTGGTGGGAGTTCGCCCAGTCACACACAGGAGAGATCAGAGTGAAAGAAGTGACTGGGACCGAGTTGTGGTGGGTCCTGAGGCTTCCGTGCACAGGGAAAACGCAGCCCTGGGCAGGCCAGGCCTAGGCGGGGCAGGAAGGGCTGGCTTGTCCCCGGCCTTACCTGGGCTGGCATCATGGCTGCTTCCCCTCTGCTCTCGTCTGATTCCTCCTCGCTGCTCTCAGAGTCTCTGTGCACCTCAGCTTTGACCTTGGTGACTAAGGGCCCTGCTTTCCCAGGGTGTACTGGGGTGGCCCCTTGTCCTGAGGGCCCCTTGGGAGGCATGGGGGCAGCTTTCCCTTGGAGGTCTTTCCCTGCAGACTTCTGGAACGACATGTGAAGGAGCAGTGTCTCAGGGGCCCAGGGGACTGCAGGGCCACCCTGAGTGGTCAGGCAGACACAGGCCTCACCTGTGCCCCTGAAATGGCCAGAGCCGCCTCCTCCTCGCTCTCTGACTCCTCGCTGCTGGAGGAATCCTCTTCTGGCTGCTGGGCACCCTGGGCCACAGCTGGGCCTGGGCAGGCTGGAGAAGCTGCTGCTCCTGCTTTCCAGGGGGCTGGGGTGCCCACTCGCATAGGGCCGGCCTTGGCAGAAGCAGGGGTAGTGGGGGTGCCTTTCCTTGGGGAGGCCTTGGACTGAGGAGTTTTGGGGGCTACTTTTGCCTGTGGGGACACCGAAGAAAGAGTCTGAAGAAGGCTTCTGGATCCAGAACCCCCAGCTGGTATGCGTGGAGCCCACACAGTGGTTCCTCACCAGCCAGTAGGTCCTCCTACTGACAGAGGAGCAGTACAGCTACCTGGGGGGCTGCCGGGACATGGCTCTGGGTCAGGCTGGGGAGCGGCCCCTTGCCTCAGGCCTCACCTGAGCTGGAGTCATGGCTGCGGGAGCCTCCTCCTCACTGTCAGATGAGTCCTCACTGCTCTCTGAGTCTTCCTTGGACCTCTCAGACTTGACTTGGGTGGTCACAGGCCACGGTGCCTTCTGCGGGGTCACCAAGGTCGCTCCTGCTCCCAAGGGGCCCTTGGTGGGACCTGAGGCAGGCCTGACCTGGAGAATTTTCCCCTGGGGCTTGGCCTGGAGTGAGAAACACGGGAACGGGTATGTGCAGACACACAACAGTAAGATGGCAGAGGGAGTCTCGGTGTGGAAAGAGGGCAGGGGTTGGGGGGTTCCCTGCACTGAGCGAGGAGGAAGAGCCCGATGGGCCTCACCAGAGCCAGGGCTGCAGCCGCAGGTGCCTGCCCCTCACTGTCCGAGTCCTCGCTGCTGCTCTCCGAGTCTTCTTCTGGCTTCCCCACGTGGGCCGAGGGGGCTGTAGCACCTGCCTTCCCAGGGGGCTTCATGCCAGTGCCTTTCACTGGAGGCCCTCCGCCCGTGGTGGAGGCAGGTCTGACCTGGAGGTTCTTCCCCAAGGGCTTCGCCTGGAGTGACCAAGGACAGGGTCAGGGGAGGATGAGTGTGCAGACACAGGCAGGGGAGGGCCAAGGGAGCCACGCAGCGCTCTAGGTACGGGGGAGGGCAAGCCCACAGGCTCCCTCTGGGCAGGACATGGGCCACATGGGACGTCCTCAGCCTCACCTGAGCTGGGGTTGCGGTTGCAGTCCCGGCTGCCGGCGTCTCCTCCTCGCTGTCCGACTCCTCACTGCTGCTCTCTGAGTTTTCATGCTTCCTTGCCTGAGCCTGGGCAGCTGTAGGCCCTGTCTTCCCAGGGGGTACTGGAGGGGTCCCTTTCCTGGGGGACTCTTTGGCAGGGGCTGAGGCAGCTTTGACCTGGGGGTTCTTCACTGGGGCCTTTGCCTGCAATGTAAGAAACAGGAGGGGAGGGGGCCCAGATGGAGGATGTGTAGACACACACCAGACAGGGTAAATGACACCACGGCGGGGAACTGGGGTTGGGTACACCTGGGCTTCCTGCACAGAGAACAAGCATGCTGAAGGCCTCCTCAGGAGGTCGGGCCGCTCGGGTCTCCCTCCCGGGCCTCACCTGAAGTAGGGTCACAGCTGCCGGTGTCTCCTCACTGTCCGACTCCTCCTCGCTGCTGCTCTCCAAGTCCCCCTCTGACTTCCCCGCCTTCCCAAGGGGAGCTGGGGTGGCTCCTTTTCTAGGGGTCCCCTTGGCAGGAGCTGAGGCAACTCTGACCTGCAGAGTTTTCTCAGAGGCCTTTACCTAGTAGTAAAAGAGAAAGGACAGTTGGCTCTCCCTGTGAAAACCCTCTGGTGCTGCCCCAGCTCAGTGGGGCTCTCGCCCCCACTTCTCCTTGAAGTACCACCCTGACTGGTACTCTGGCCACACCGGCCTCCCCTGCCCCCTCAAACCTGAGCAGCTTCACATTCACTCCCGGCCACTGCCCTTTCCCCACTGCCCCTGGCTGCTGCCTCCCAGCCTCTGGGTCCTGGGAAGACACCACCTCCTCAGGGCAGCTCTCCCTGAGCGACTGCCTCCTTGGCTGTCCCCACACACTGGAGGTTACAGCCTGCTCTACCATGGCAGGAGGCTGTGGGCACAAGGCCTGCCTATGGACCTGCTTGGCTCTGACTGTGTATGTGACCAGGCTCAGGACTGGCGCATGCGAGGGCGCAGAAGGAAGAAGCAGAGACGTGGCCAATGGAGAGGTGGTGAGAAAGCGGACAAAAAAAGCACCGAGTGAGGCCCTCCTGGGCTCTCTGCACATGGAGAGCCTGTCCCAAGCCTCACAGGCAAGGTCCCCTGGCCTGGCCTGGCCTGTTCACTAACATTTCCAGCTGCTCTTGGGCTCTGCATTGCCTTGAGGCTTCTACAGAGTGTTGCAGGCCCTTCTTCCCTGGAAAATCCCAGTCACTCAGCCTGGCTGCTCACCCCAGAAACCTGAAGAACCGTCCCATGCAGAGATGTGGGCTCACCTGGCTGGGTGTCGCTGCAGAGGCCTCCTCCTCACTCTCAGACTCACTACTGTCTGACTCCTCTTCTGGCCTCTTAGCCCTCACAGCTGGGGTCAGCACACCTGCTTTGACCTGGGGTGTCACTGCCCCCACTTTCCCAGTGGCCGGAGCTGCCTTTCTTGCTGGAGACTCCTTGGCAGGGGCTGGCGGGACTTTGACCTGGGCTGGCTTTACTGAGAGTTTCACCTGGAACAAGAGTCCAGAGTCAGGGAGTTAGTAAATATAACCACTCGCCCTTAGGTGTGTAAGACACTTCAGTGTTTAGAGCCCTTTCCTAATGTCATCTGATCTCCAAACGACACCGTAAGACAAACAGCTTTGCGCCCATTTTCCAGGAAAGCACGAGAGGTTTCGAGAGGCCAAATCACTCACGATCACCAGGAAGGGGCAGAGCCCTCAAGCATGACCCCTGTCTCCCATGGGCACACACAGGTTTGGCCTGACAGGGCAGCTTCTCAAAAGAGCTCGCCCTGGCCTGTCCTTAAGCTAAACTATCCGCTTGTGGTGGCCCTCTGAGGACCAGCTTGGAGTCCAGAGTCCAGCCCTGGAAGAGCAGCCTTGCCACTGGCTTGCTGAGTTGCCCTGGCTGCATTCCTTCCTCCTGTGAGCTTGCTCTTAAGGCTTCTGAGAGCCTGACATTCTGGGGCAGTGAGTGTGACCTGTGAGACTTCACCTGACCCTGGGTTTCTGGGGCATTTACAGCTCAATCCCAAACTCCTCCTCACTGCTAGAGTTCTGCATTGGGCTCTGGCTCACTGAGGCTGTGTTTTGGGCTGTGTTTACAGTGAGGAATGGTTTCCTTCTCTTGGCAAGGCCTGGGGAGGTGGGGGTGATGGGAGCCTTTACATGGTTCTGACAGTGAGGCAAGAAGGACCTTGGGCACCAGATCAGTCCATCCCCGACTCCCGCCTGTGCTCACCCTAAAACCTCTTTCCCACTAGACACTGTGGTCCCAGCCGCCAGCTCTCCTGCAGGATTACTCCCACAGCCCCTACAGAGCCTCGCTGTTTTCATTCTGCATCATCTTCCCAGCCAGGCTGCAGCTGCGATCTTTGTGAAAATCAGGCTCTCTTCCCTCTTTGCCTAAAACCCTGCAATGGCCTCTCACAGCCCCTAGGATAAACACCGAACTTCTTACGCTGGGCCTCAGGGTCAGGGTCCATGGATCTGCCTACCTGAGACCTCCTGCATCACTCCCCCCCTTGTTCTCCAAATGACAGATCAATGCTCTTTAAAAGCCCCACACCGCAGGTGTCTACACATGCTGCTCCCGCCTTCACAGCTCTCTACGTGTCCCTTCATGGCAGCTGTCACCGCTGCAGCCATATATCTGAGGGTCCCTCCGCACCTCCCTCACCCTGTGGCATCCATCGTGCCCACCACTGCGTTCCTTAGGCCTGGCGCATAGTATGTATGTAGTGAGGGATGGCCAGTGGAGAGTCTCCCAGGTCAAAGCTCAGGGAAGAGGGTCCTGCCCAGTTCTGCCAAGAGCTCAGGCCTAGTTGTCACCAGTGGGCCCACAACCCTATCAGCATCCTCACCCCCTCAATTTATCATGTGACAGCCCACTCCTTCCCTAGGCCTTTGCTTGTACGTTTCCTCCTGCTAGGAACACTCTTCCCTCCACATTCCTTCCTGGTGAAACCCACTGTGCTTCAAGGCCCTGCTCCAAGACCACCTTTCCTGGGAAGCCTTGCAAGCCCCACAGGCAGGTGGCATCTCTTGCCCATCACCTCGGCCTTCTTTAGGCTTCGTGTGCAGGGAGCGGCAACAGGATGCTCTCCCTGCACCTCCCCGGCTGCAGCCTCTCCAACTCCCAGTCACTCTGATGCCACCACTGACCCAGTCTGGGTCCACTGGTGCCAGGCCCTGCCAGGCTCCTAGAAGGGTAAGAGGCTCCGAGAGGGCAACTCCTAAGGATGGGTGTCAATTACCTCCACGTCCGTCTCATCGCTTGAGCTGGAGGTGTCCTCGCTGGAGCTGCCGGCCTGGCACGCTGACACCATCCCTGAGGGATGGACATGGAGGGGACTGAGGGACACCCTTTCCAGACTCAGCTGTCCACCCCCAGCACCGCCCCCATGGCAGCTGCTAACCAAAGCCGGGTGTGAGCATGCTCGTCATGTGCAGAGCTAGAGCTCTGCCCTTCCCTGAGGCCCCAGTCCGAGGTGGGCACCATCATCATCCCAATTTCCTACATAGGTTGAGGCTCTGGTAAGGGTCGGAGTAGGGCCTGACACACAGGTGCCAACACCCGACAGTTTATAAACGCTCCATCCACCGTTGTGTCCACCGAGGAGGGCAAATGCCTATTCATTCATTTCTTCGCATGAGAAATGAAGGCCAAGCCATGCCCTTGCAGCGTAGTGTCTAAGCTGTCACGGTGATCCTGTGACCCACTGGGGAGTAATAAACCAGAAGCTCTGACCACACTGAGGCTGTTCAGACTCTCTCCAAAAAGCCTAAGGTAGTCCCTGTAGCTGGCCCGCCCTCTCCTAGGGGAGGGATGCAGGACCCTCACTGTCACGATGACAATTTGAATTCCCGAATTTCTCAGAGTACAAAAGCAGGGCCTAAGCTTGCCCTGCCAGCCCAAACTCAGGGTGCTGGCTCCAAGGGGTAGGAGCTTCTCACCAGGCTTGGCGGCAGCTCCGTGAGCTGGGACGCTGCCCTCCTCCTCGGTTTCTGAGGCCAAGACTGCATTCATCGAGGGCTCTGCCGACTTCCTGGGGGACCTCCCAGAGAGGAAGTGGGCCACCGCCTTCCCGGAGGCAGGGTGTGGCGTGGAGTTCACTGTCTTGCTGGCCTTCGCCTACAGACGACAAGGGCGACACATCTGGCATGGTGGCACAGTAAGCGAGAGCACAGGTTGCCCGTCACCGAGCCTGAAGTGACTGCTTCCAGGTGGTGAGAGCTTGGGCAAGTCCTTAGTCTCTGTTCACTCATCTTTAAAGTGGGACTAATAACAATATTGTCCCTCACAGAACCATCACAGTTTGTGAGACACGGGAGTTACTTGCAACGTGGCAAGAATCAATGTGCCGTGGGTATTATATCATCCTGGAATTATTTTTACACTTTATTGTTAACGCTCCGGGCGACTTCAGGGAAACAATCTCGTATATATCTGCCACACAGCGCTGTGGGTTACCAGAAAATTATGCTCTTTCTAAGGAATTTCTGGTTTAGAAAATGCTTTAAGAGTTCCAGAAGCAGAGGTTCCAGTGCAGTATGGTGCCTCCACGGCCTAGCACCGTGCCTGGAACAAAAAGATGTTCGTACAGACCTACTGAGCGAACAGTGACAGCAGGGAGGAAGGAGGAAAGGCACTGCCTGTCCTGGGAGCATGCTGTGCCTGGTGGCCCGTCACAGCAGGCACGACTCCCATCTTACAAAAAAGGAACCTGAGGCTCAGAGCCCACAGCTGGTGACACAGGTGAGGGTTAAACACCAAGATCCCACAGCTGGTGACACAGGTGAGGGTTAAACCCAGACTGGGCGATTTCTCACAGCCCTATCCCTGCTCTCTGTCAGAGGGGACTGTCCCCTATACTTCAACCACCACAGGCGACAGCTTGGAAGGCAGTCCACTCACCGTGGCTTTTCCTTTTATGCTTGATGACAAATCTGTCCCCGTGACTGAGGAGTTGGCAGATGCTAGTCTCGGGGCTGCAAGACACAAACACCCGCTGGGTGAGCCGTGTGAACTCTCCTCACCTGAACAACCTCACCTCACCTACCGGTTCAATGGTCACAGCTGGCTGGTGCTGGCAGGGGAGATTGAGGCTGACCCAGACTTCGGGGAGAGAGCTCCGGCACGCACCAGCCACATCCCCAGGAGTAAGAGACAAGAATGGTGACATGGAAACTACATGTCTGCACCCCGGACAGAGGCCCAGCTCCCCAGTGGCATGAGATGTTGAGGCTCCCAGAAGGTGAGGGGTTGGCTCACATCCCCGCCACCTACCATCGCAAAGGTACTGCACGCCTCCAGAGGGTGCCACACATGCAGGCTACACCACACTGTAGTCCCCGAGTCACTCAGTAAAAGGGACAGTGGTCAGGCAGCCAGCCCCGGTCTGGGGAAAGCTGAACCGTGAGAACTAGGGCCCTGTTAGATGTCGATTACAGATTTGTGGTGTTCTTACCACAGGGTATTGTCTGCTAGAGTGCAGACAGGGAAGGATTTCTAAGTTATGTTGTTACAGAGAACGCTGCCGAGATGAATGGCACAATCTAATTCTTTTCCTGGCACTTAACGCCATCTCTCTCTGTAATTATGGAAAATTTTAAACACATTCATAAGTGGAGACGAATCACCCAGCTCCAACCGTGATCAACTTGAGGCCAATCTTACGTCCTTTACTGCTCCTTCCACCCTTCTCCATCACGCATGATTTTGAAGAAAATGCCAGGCATCCTGCCATGTTGCCTACAAATGTTTTAGCTTGTTTCCTTCAATAAGGACTTTTAAAAGGAGTAATTACAATTTCATTATTGCAGCTTAAAAAAATGGACTAAGAGCAAACAGCCAGCCCCTGTGAAATCCGACCACTTTTACTTTAAGCAGTGCATCAGTCTGCACCATGGAGGGCTCTCTGTACGGCTATAGGTATAAAGGAGAAAGTGTTAAGGACCACCCACAAGGAGATGCATTTAGGGAGTAAAGGGGAAGCAGGGAAGAACAGGAAACCTTCCGTTTTCCTTCTATGTGTTTTTGTACAGCTCGAAAAGAACTTGTTTTGCATTTATAATTTCAGAAGATTAAGCAAGATCTAAAAAATACATATATATACAATATAATCCCCAACATCTTTAAAAGCAGGCTCAGAAAAACTAAAGGGGACAATAATTTGCCGAAGTATAGGTGTCAAGGATACAGGTCATTTTTTTCCTGCCATTTTTCAAAGTCGTTTTCAAATATTCGATAATGAATACTCTACAATGAATCCTGTCTTTGATAAATTAGAAAATATATTTAAAGATCAAGAAATTGTCTTCTGTGTAAACAAAAAAAAATATAACACACTGCAGAGGCAATATGGCAATTCCTCCGTAGTTATGGCTGCCATCGGGTCAAACACAAGGATCCCTGAGGATTCAGGGTGAAGGAGCTGGGAAGGTCTCCACCAGATGACCCCTGCCAATGCTTTGAAATCAGTGACCAGTACAGCCTCTCAGTGCTACCAGGGATACTTCCGAAAACAGGAGGATCAGTAACTCCTGAAGCAGCCCGGAGGCCACATGGGAGAGGTGTGTACTAGCTGCCTCCTGATACTTCTTGCAGTACTTCTGAAAATGTGGTTTATTGGAATAGCCTGGGAGTTTGTCTCCTGGGGCCAGTAGGTGCTGTAGTGGTTAAGACACTGGACTCCCACATGGCTAACTACAGTTCAAATCCCAGACTTGATGCCTTCAAACTCACACTGGGCACATGCACTCCCCAAATCCCAAGAGAACGTAGGGGAAGACAACATTGTGGTGTGGCCATTCCCGGTAGGGTAATTTCTCATTTTTTGTCTGTCTCTCTGGAGAGTGCATATGCTCTATGGCAAAAATCCCTCTCTCAACCAAAAAAAAAAAAAAGCAGCCCCTGAGCCTCACTGTCTGCACACCAAATGGTACTGTATGGCATGGCTGGGTGTTTCTGCTTCACCCTTTGGGTCCTCAGAGTCTGAGGATGTGGCGTCTTGAAGGGCTCAAATAAATACTGAAATAGATGCCTGGTGCGCTCCCAGTCATCCACTGAAAGGTCCTGGTCTTCCCAGGGCGCACTAAAGGAGAACGGGGTGGACTCTACCCTGTACCGATCCAATATCCCATAGCCTGTTTCCAAAAGGTGCAGGGCCCTGGGCTGAGTTCCCACAAGCCCCAACAAAGGGGCCCTGACGCGGTGGGGGACCCATGTCCTACAGCAGAGCAGTGCCCAGATGCAGGGATGCAGGGCTCTTACTGGCTTTGGCAGTTGCGGCTTCTGCCTCTTCCTCCTCTTCCGAGCTCTCTGAGCTGCTGATGGGGTCTGACACACGGGTCTTCTTGGCTTGCAGCGCCGCATCCTCCTCTGCCTTCCGCTTCTGGCCAAGTTCGGAGGTTCTGCAGGACAAGGGTCACTGGCTATACCAACTGGGCGACAGGACAATTCCACAAGATTCAAAGACAGACCTTCCATGAGACCAGCAGATGGCATAATAGTTACATTGCTGGACTCTCACATGGCTGACCATGGTTTGAGTCTTGGATCTGGAGGCTTGAAACTCACATCAGGTGTATGTGAGTGCATGCCCAAAATCCTAAGAGGAGAATGGAAGAGAAGGAATTGTGGCGTGGCTATCCTCCCTGGGGGGTGCTTTCTTGCTTTCTATCTCTCTGTTTCTCAAATGAGCAGCATATACCCTATAGCAAAAATGATCTCTCTAAAAACAAAACAAAACCTCACACAAAAACAAAACAAAACAAAAAAAACACCCACAAACACAGAACTTCCCACATCCTCCTAGGCCCCAAAGGAACCATGCATCAAGAGAATTCAAATATATAGCAAAAACCTCTCCAAAAAAAAAAAAAGAAAAAAAAAGAAAAGAAAAAGAAAAAAAAAGAAAGACAATTCAAATAGCAATGAAAACCCAGTGGAGACACAGCTTTGGATTCCGCATTTTCACTTATTTCATAAAGTGCTTTACACTCTGCAACTAGTCTTTAAAATAGCTGGGACGGTCACTGAGGTTATATGACAGTAGCTAACAGCCATGGAGTGACAGGTGCTGGCCCCTGGAGGCACGGCACAAAGCACCCGGCCTGCTGCCCCTCTGGAACTTGCTGCACGTGCCCTGTTCCTGGCACGGTCTGCCCAGCTTCTCTTGGCCTTCTGGTCTCAACTCCACTCCGCCTCCTCAGAGAGGCCCTCGCTGCTCACCCCTCCCCAGGCATCCTCTGCCCCCCATCCGGTCTCAGTTTTTACAGAGCATGTTCTCTGTCCCCTGCCGTTTTACTTACTTCCTGCCTGACTCCCACACTACCCAGAAGGGCCCAGGGAAGGATTGGGGGAGCTGGCAGCTCACGAGGCCACCTTAGTGCATGTCTCAAAACCTAAACAGCAGACCCTTGCCCCTCTGCCTTGCCCAGATTGAGCAGTAAGTTAAAGACACTGATAGGGTAAGCACCCAGAGGGCCGAGCCCCCGAACCTTCGAAAACCACCTCCTTGTACCCTGCCCCACACTCAGGGAGCCACGGCCTATGGCCCACATTTTCCAACTGGGACGGACACAGCTCTGCCACTGTCAGGGATGTGCTTGTTCCCAGGAAGGCCACTTCTCAGGAATCGCTTGCTAAAATCAGGTTTAGTTTATTACATGTAGCAATTTATTCTTCCTCTCCTTTCAGCAGAATGTGAGTTTCACAAAGTGGGGATTTTTCTCTAGTTTGTTCCTAGTTATATCAAGAATTGTGCCTGGCTTGTCGTAAGTGCTCAATAAATACCGAAAAGGGGAATAAAAGCCTCCAAGGTGAGGTTTAGCACTTTATATAGACAATTGTGCATAACCCTCTCAACGCAATGACATCATTACTGTTGTTATCTTCATTGTGCAGATAAAGACCCTCAGAGAAGTCAGAAACTCACTCACGGTCACCTGGCTGGTCGCTAGGGCTGAGCATTGTGAGAAGCCACTGTATAGGTAGCATGAGGTCCTCTCTATGCACTGGCCTGACCACAGCTAAAACGGGGGGCGAGGAACCTGCAGACACATCCCATGAGGAAGGGCAGAGAATACTGAACAGTTCAGAATACCAAAAAGGGGGAGGTGAGGAGGATGAGGGACCCCCTCACCTGTGGAAGGAACCAGAGACAGGGAAAAACACTCAGCATAGCTCCCCGAAATGGTTTTCCGGGAAGCGTTGTAACACCCACACGCCTGGGCAAGTTGCAGAGGGTAAGGAAGTGTGGGTGTGCCCTGGGCTTTGAGCTCACCATGGCAGGACAGGATTGCTAAGAGCTGAGGGCCGGCAGGGTTTTCAGTGACCTCAGATCTCCACTGGAGGCTGGGATCCCTTCCACCCCACTCCCGCCTTTGCTTACACACCTCGTTTCTGGATGGCTCTTTCGATCAAGTGCTTGTATTCAGAAGCTGAAATCTGTTTTCTAAAGCAGGGTCACACGGGGCCCATTTTTGTCTCTCAGGGCCTCAGAGAACACAGCACTCCCTTGGTCCTCAAAGGTGGGCAGTGGACCCATCTCACTGCCTTTCTCTCCATCCTGGACAATTCAATATTCTCTACTGTCCCTCAGGAGATCTGTCTGCAGGTCTTCCCCTCTCCCAGTAGGCTGTGGTCAGGCCAGTGCAAGCACAGATGACCACCTCTCGTCCTCTGTCCTTCAACCACTCCTCTGCAGGTGTACCGTGCATTATCCCCCCTTCCCTGGAAAGCAGTCACGTGTCACATTTTTCACAGACATTTCACAATCAACACATCCTTGAAAATTTGTGCTCCCCAGTGGGTCCCCTTCCAACTCTATGCATGGATCCACCTTCTATCCAGGCACACAGGGGAGACCTGGGTGTCGATGAGATACTTCCCTCCACGCCACCCACAGAGCCTGGCCCCATCCCCGATATCCTAAGATCCCATCTGCGCTTGCTGGATCATGTTTGCAGCCGCCATGGTGCAAAGTGACCTGCTCATTCTGCTTCAGCCTCCTGTGGCTCCCACCACTCTAGGGTAAAGAGAGTTTCTCACCACGGATGACCAGGGCTTACTTGAGGTGGGCCCTGCTGGCTGTTCAGCCTCACCTGGACTGGTCCCTGGTCACAGGCCTTAGCCCCAGCAGTTTCACTGCCAGAGACACTCTGCCCACCTCTCTATACTGCTGGCTAGCGAACTCCTCTGCTTCCTGCAGCCATCATTTCCAGGTCACCCCAGGGTGCCTCTGCTAAACCCCCAGATGACGCTGGGCTCGTCCATTTGCATGGTCTGGACACCAGATGCCTCTTCTGTGGCCCTTCCCACCAGTGTAATTTCATGTTCGTTTCACTCTTTGATGCCCGCCTCCCTGACTACAGGCTCGGCTGCAGGAAAGGAGGACCCATGCTGGTCTCACTCCGGACAGTATCTCCATGCTTAAACAGGCTGGGCATTCAGTAAGTGCTTAGTAAATCTTCCTTGATCAAGCAAATAAGCAGCTGGTGAGAAGCTTGTCCTTAAGAAATCACAGCTCTTCATGCCCCTCCCAGATGCCCACACAACAACACCCACAGATGTGATGTGACCGGAGTTCCTGAGGGCAAGAATGGTGTCCACAGAGGGCCATGGCGACAGACCTTAGTTAGACCAGACTAGTATCTTTATTCCAAGTGCCTTGCTGGGGGTGTCCTTACTCCACCACTTTGGCCCCGCCAGACTTACTGTTGCCAGTGAGTATAGATGTCCAGGAGGGTCACAGGCTGAGTCAGGAAGGTTTTCTGCAGAGAAGTAAAGAGAAAACCACAGTGAAGCCCCAGCATAGTAAGGGTCCTCCTTGGGCCCGGTTCTCCTGACCTCGAGAGCTGCCCAGACCAGGGCCTCTCTACTCTGGGAAATGTGTCCATCTGGCCCTGCCAGTACCAGCCCAAACCTTCCGGAGAAAGCAGAGCAAGCAGTTTCAGTTGAACCCTTTGAAGATATAGCACGTTGGTGAGGGATGCCTTCCAGGGTCTGGAGTCAGAATGTTCTAGGCTAACATTTATCCAGCCCCTAGCCTCCTTGGCACTATCCATGCTTAGAGGCTTGAGACAGGGTTTTTTCTAACCCCGATTCCATAATTTTCAAGCTACCAGGTCTGGGACTTGAGCCATGGTTGGACATATGGGAGTCCAGTGCCTTAACCACTACGCCACCTATTGACCTCATCCCTGATCTTTTTTTTTTTTTAAAAAAAAAGAATTGAAAGCAATCTACCAGGTCCGGGACTCGACAAAGCAGAGCAAGCAGTTTCAGTTGAACCCTTTGAAGATATAGCACGTTGGTGAGGGATGCCTTCCAGGGTCTGGAGTCAGAATGTTCTAGGCTAACATTTATCCAGCCCCTAGCCTCCTTGGCACTATCCATGCTTAGAGGCTTGAGACAGGGTTTTTTCTAACCCCGATTCCATAATTTTCAAGCTACCAGGTCTGGGACTTGAGCCATGGTTGGACATATGGGAGTCCAGTGCCTTAACCACTACGCCACCTATTGACCTCATCCCTGATCTTTTTTTTTTTTTAAAAAAAAAGAATTGAAAGCAAGCTACCAGGTCCGGGACTCGAATCATGGTCACCGATGTGGGAGTCCAGCGCCCTTAACCACCATGCCACTTGCTGGCCCCTGATCTTTTAAAAGGCTTTCAAAGGCCCAATCGGTCAATCTCCCCAAAGCACCAACTGAAGCCCAGAAACCCAAAGTACAATCGCAGTCTACTGGTCTGCTAGGAAGAGACTGGGCCCAAACAGTACCCGTTCCTTGGTAGAAGCAGAAGCCGTGTCATCCAGGCCTGTAGGGCCTAGGCCAGAGGCCCCACTGTCCTGAGGGAGGCTGAGTGAGCACTGTGGGGTAAGGGCGAAGGTGTCAGGAGCTTCGCCAAGAGGGTAGTCAGGCAGAGCTCCTGTTAACTAGCTGAGCTAATCTCTTCGCCTCTTCACACTCCAGTGGTCGTCCTTTATAACAGGGGTGTGTAGGGGGATAGCAGCAATACCCACCTCACAGGACATTGGGTCACGACAGGGCAATCTAAGCCAGTGGCCGGCATTCGCTGACTTCAAGTGTCAGATTCACTCTGTTCCACCCCAGGCCAAGTGGCCTCCTCAATGTCCTCAAATGGGTCAGGTTATGGCACCCTGCAGGGCCTTGTGTTCTATCTGGAATGCTTTTTTTCCCTGCTACCTACGACACACACACGTTGTCTTCAGGTCTCTGCCCCAGTGTCACCATCTCAATGAGACCTCCCTGCCTGGCCTGTTTATAGCTGACATCCTTTATCCCCCTTGCCTGCCTTATTTGCATAGCTAGCACCTTACCATCACCCCATACGCTTAATCATAACTTATTTTTGGACTTGTCTTCCGTTTGAACCGGTTGGAGGGTATGCTCAACAAGGACAGGGTACTCTTGCTAGGCATATGCTTCAGTGAAGATGGGGTACTATTTCTTGCTCTCCTTATTTGCTAGCTATTGGAAGAAGGTGTTGCTGAGGTCCAGAGAGAGGGTTTTAAAAAAGCATATATAGGGCCAGCAGGTGTTGTGGTGGTTAGGGCAGCTGGACTCTCACATGGCTGACTGTGGTTTGAGTCCCAGACCTGGCGGCTTGCTTTCTTACTTTCCTTCTCTCTCTCTGGTCAACTTAAAAATAATATAAAATAAAATAATTACAATGAATATAATTAAATAAAAAATAATTCTTTAAAAAAAAAAAGAAAGAAAAAGCATATATAACCCATTACCTTCTAGCCCCTCCGGGAGGTCTTTAGAGCAATAAGACCAGAGCCAGAGATTTTGCTAAGTAGTCAGCACTTGTTTCACCAGCATAAAGCCCCTCAGTGTTTTACCACAGCTATTTTTTTTAAAGAAAATAATTATTTATTTTATTTTATTTATTATTATTTTTTAATTTGACCAGAGAGAGAAAAACAGAGAAAACAAGCCACCAGGTCCAGGACTTGAACCATGGTCAACCACTGCTCTTCAGATAAAGAAAGAACTGCCCATAGGCTCTGCTTCAGCTAGCTCCTGCCTCCTCTCTCTGGGGGCCTTTATAGCCCTTACCGGCAACACTGCAACACTGCAGACACAGTGGGCTTTCTCCAGGCTCACCACAGGGCATTTGCACCTCTGTCTGGAATATCTACCTCTTTTCCTGCAGATCCCAAATCAGCTGCCACTTAGTGGACATCCCTGACAAGGGCAACCTGTTATCCCGGTCTTAGCACCCTGTACCTCTCCTTCTCAGCACTTAATGTGGTGCTACTGAAGTCACTTGTGATTCTTTGATTTATGTATGTCTACCCTCCAGGAGGGCTGGGAGACTGTGCTCACCCTGAGAGCCAGATTAATTGAGAGATGAGCGAATGAAAGTTAAGAAATGATTGCACCACGAGTTCAAGTCCCAAAGCCGCCCCACTCGGTACGGAGAACCATGAAGGCCCTGAGTTCCAGCTCTACTAATGGGTCGAGCATCCCTTCTCTAGGTTCTTCCCCGCGGTGCTTGTCGCAAACCAACAGAGACAAGCACCAGCCTCTTCGCCTCGGGGGGTGGCTTCGGGCCACGTGGCCGGACACTTAAAAAACTTAAAACTGCCGCTACCGGGAAGGGGGTGGGGAAAGGGACGCGGGAATTACGAATCCCTCCCTGGGCGACTGATCACAAGTCCCGGCCCGCCCACTGCACAGGTCGGGAAACTGAGGCCCTAGTGGGCTGGAAGTCGCAGGAGGAAACAGGCTGCGGCTCCTCCAGCACCCCTGGGCCGCGCCCCTGAGCACCGCAGAACCCGGCTCCGGGCGCGCGCCAGGTGGTCCGGGAGGGGGC